GGTATGTTTGGATAGCGGACTTTACCCATGTTACTAATGAGTTTGACAGGCGTTTTCACCCATGCTTTGGGGGTGGGCTAGTGACAGCCCGACTGGACATTACATCTCTAGAGGCCACCAACTCGGAGATCCCCCGCCAGATCGGTTCATGTCACAAAGAGCCATCATCCGTGGCAGGAGTCTTGTGTGAGGATCAGTAAAACCAGCCCAGAGCGGACTGGCACCCAAAGTGAGGTAAGGAGTAGCTCCTTATACACGTCACAACAGCCTTAACTGTCTCTCACGCCTGTGATGAAATCACCGCGAAATGTATCTGCAAATAACTGGCCATTTACCACGTGTCTCAAGGAGATGAGCTCCAGCTTCAAAGGAAAACTGTTAATTAGTCGTATTTTGCGACATGCTTCTTATGGGAGCAGTGGATCTAATCTTTTTCTCTCTAAAATAGGGCCCCGGAACCACCTGACTAAAGCCAGTACAACATTCGGCTTCATATACCAGGGGAAACAATCGTAGAGATCAAAACCGATCCTAGTACTCCTTTGATTATCCTATCTTTGTTTTCTTGGCTTAGACATGTATAAACTCACTCAATGCATACATCTGTTGGCTAGAGTAACCATCGTTTTTTGTGTAATATTTTCAGCTGCAAGCGGGACATACGAAGACATTCAGTTCATACTGTCAATAATCATTAGGGAACGAACACATTTTAAGACTATTATATTTTAAAAGCCTACATTGAACTCCGTCCCTATCTGGGACGAATTGTTCGTTATTTTAAAGACTCACCCTGGTTGTTGTCAGGGAACCTAATATAACCCAACGTATGGGTTAAACGGGATTTCTAGTACCTCTCCACAGGTGATCCTAACTCAAATGGTGGCACTTTGTTTCACATGATATTTATCGTTCAGTGGGATGTCCTGGTGGGGTTTAACATCAATCAGTTAATCAAACAGTCTTTAAATTAAATAAGAGCTTATTCCTAGATTTGGATAAACATACAAATAAGCACGATCTGTTAAACGGATGCACGCGCAAGATCAGGTCCTGGAACAAAGCCGAAGTTCAGAAATGGACGAACAACCAAGTCTTTCCGTTGGGGTTTACAGCCGGTGAACGCAAAACCACACCACCACACAGTGTCTCAAATCATTCGGTCCGAGTCAGTGCATTATGCGTTTGTTGAGCTTTCTTATATTATATACTAGACCTAACCTTCTGTCTCTCATTCAATGATTACGTTAAGGCATTTACCTAAATGATTGCTTCATATCCTTCTTTCTCGCGGCGCTGATCACTGCGTATGCTATGTTTAGCGTATGCTAAATAAGCGACCAGGTTGGTAATTCTAAATTTGACCAGCGAAAGAAAAGAATGTCCCTCAGCTCTGGCTTAGAGCCACACTTTGAGTGAAGTTGAACCCCAGTAGGACTGCAAAGTATCATCACACGGATGATAATTTCCAGAACAAATTTCAGATACCTCGATTAACAAGAAGGTTCTACTGGGAGCTCTGACGGTTACAAGGCAACAGGGTGGGGTTTTCCCCCCTTTTAAACAACGCATGCTTTTCACTATCATCTTGACTGACTGACTTTTTACCCCATTAGGACATCACACTGAGCGTAAACACCCTGTGACGTAAAGAGCCACCATTTGGATGAGGATCACCCGTGTAGAGGTCCCTGAAACCCTGTTTAACCGTTGGTTATATTAGTGCCCATGGGCAACGAACCAGTGTGGGACTTTAGTATAGGGAAAACATTCATCCCACATTGGAACGGGGATTAATGATTATAATTCTAGTAGTATCATTCTTTTCTCTGAAGCTCTATTATATCTCTCATGGTTTATTTCATTTACAGACAGGGCTGCCGAAGTTGGTACAAATTTGGTACTATTTTACCATTGCCGAGCAAAGCTTTACTTTTAGTACTGCATTCAGTGGTTTGATAGTTTTATAAATTTTGTTTCAGTATTTTAAATAACAGCATTGTACGCTGGATTAAGTGTGTGTTACTGAAGAAATACTGATGTAAACTATGATATTGGTTATGCAGCTTCTCAGCATTAATAAACAATATCACTGTTAACAAATAAGTAAAGAACAGAAGGAACTAATTTTGCAAATTCCACCTTCTAATGCTGAAAAAAAAAGAAACATTTTGGTTTACAATTTTAGAAGAAAATGTAGAGATTAAAATATGTTTCCAATAGATTAAACAAAATTAGTCTTAGTCGTTTGGCGGTGCCCTGGACAGAGAAAGAGAGCAATGAAGACATTTTGAGAGAAACTGACTCACGAAGAGAACTGATTGCCCACATCAGAAGGAGACAGTCTACATACTTTGACCATGTCTTAAGAATGACCCAAAGAAAAATGGAATGTATCGTAATGGTGGAAAAGTTGGAGGGGGAAAGAGGTAGAATGAGGACAAGGGCCTATGGGGTTTGAGGTTTGAATAACGGATCAACATCACGGTACACGGATCGTAATCATAAGTGCTCCGTTTTTCTTTTAACTCAAGTCTGAGTCCGAAGAAGCTTAGCACAGTGCACAGGCTCTGTAGCACCGGCGAGGATACTGAAATACTTTGAGTAGATTTTTTACTAAAATTTTGCCCGAACGAACAAGAGAGTAGATGCTGGACAGTTTGACATCGTGGCACGGAAGATCATCAATGTAAGATTTGATCGCAAGGACACGAGACATAAGTTGTATTTAGGCATCACTTCAAATGTCACAGGCATGGGCTTTAAAAATAAGAAGTCTTGTGGCATTACCTCCCTCCACTGCAGCAATAGAAAGAGTGTTCTCATGCTTAACAAGACTAAAATTGAAAACAAAATTGCTCTTTTTTGACATCAACAATAAATGTATTGATGAGATCAGATTTATTGCTCCAGGATATTAATTGCACCTCATGGAAGCCGCTACAACAGCTTTGTAACAAACAGAGCAAAATCAAAATGATACAGTGGAGATGTAAAAGACAAAGAATTTCAATTCTAATCAAATGTGAAGTAAACCATACATTTACGTTTACATACATACATAAAAATACATTTATATATGTATGGGTAATATAAACATACACACATATACATGTTTATATATGAGCGTGTGTGTATGTGTTAACGGTTTTAATTAACAATTAACAATTACAATTTTTGTACTTTTTGGTGTATTTTGGTACCATTGTAAAAACATAATAATTTAATACTAATCCGAAAATATTGTCGACAGCCCTGATTACAGAAAAGGAACTCTTCTTTCTATCACCAGGTGTGCAGTTATTGGATTGTAGTCCTCGTTTGTCAACATGGTAAGTTACTTTTTTCTAGTTTAACTTGTGATATTCTTACGAAGTTATGTAATTATGCTTATTATAGTATAAAAACGGTGAATTTCTGATCATTTTTAACTAGTTCTTATCACATTACTGGGTATTAAATTAAAGTACACGTTGTCTTATGTTGTGTATACTACCTATTGTCGATAGCTGGTTAATAAATAAATAAATATCATTTTTTTTTTTTGATTTGATATGACTAATTGTTAACAAAAATGCTCAAGTTCTGTTGTAGATATGTTTATATTAGCAAGTCACAGGCCAAGACCGGCGTTTAAAATATACTATTCGTAGTCAAGAATGTTAGTACTTTTTGATCATTATCATTTGTTTTTAAATTTATTAACTATTTTTTTTTGTTTTTATATAAAATTGGGTTCTCCTTGCAATGAATAACGGTCGCTACTTGGACGGCGACGGCCGCTTAGTCGGAGTTCATTGCCTTGGCTGCAGTGCAAATACGGAGCGGACAAGTCACGAACAAAAAAACACAATGAGGTCGACATGACTGCTAGAGCTAGACCACGCGCTGCGACTAACTAACAGTAGCGACCGCGTTCTTCCAACGCAAGATTTAGTGACCGTAGATGTGGGGACCTGCGGATCTGTATGTCGTAATGAGTGATAAGCTTGCGTGGTTTCCGTGATGTGACTGTTACCCTAACCCAAACCGTAACCCTACCCCAAACCTTAACCCTACCCCAAATCCTAAGCCTTAAGCCTAACCCTAGGATGACAGTTAACTATATCATTTGTTTCGTTCCCTTTTTACCACTCCATATTTGCAGTGCAGCCAAGGGAGTGAACTCCGACTAAGCGACCGTCGCCTTCCAGCTAGCGGCCGTTATTGCAAGGAGAGCCTAAAATTGTATGCCCATGAGTCGGATCAGGAGTAACACCAGTTTATGCAATGTTTAGCTTGTTTAGACGACGGATTAACATCAGGGCACAAAGGGCAACCCATTAGTGCTCCTTTCTACTTCTGACTCAAGTCTAAGTCCAAAGAATCTGAATCTCAGCACAGTGCACGAACTTTGTAGCACCCGCAAGGATCCTAAAATACTTTGAGGTAGATTTTTCAACTCCAGATTTTGCCCAGAAAGCACAGTTGGGCTACTTTTTTGTATTTCCCACTGGCAATGGGTATTTTACGTGCACAACAATACACACAGAGACCAGGGAAAATTACTAAAAGTCGACATGAGAAAATCCCAGCCCTCGCTCACTGGGGCCCGAACCCGGGACCTCCAGCAATCATGGCGGATGCCATGCCTCTAGACCATGCGGCCCTCAAACAGTTTAAACAGTTATAGTCATCAATATAACTGTCTGAAAATTTCCAGTTTGTGACTTTTCTCATATGCAATATTTCAATTCCTGATACTAATAATTCTTTATTATTATAATTGTAATTTGTCCCTCTGTTTTTTTTTTTAAGTTCAAGTATCCATTACAGTAGTGTTAATAAAAAAGATATTGACTATATATTGACCAGAAGAGAAGCACAGTCAAGAAACAACTTGTCATTGAATCTAGACCGCTTCAAGCTCAGTGCTCTAGTGAGATGAGCTAACCTCTAGTGAGATGTTGTATATTATTTAATCATGTTATTGTTAAGTGGTTTTTTTTTTTCGTTTTCAGCCTCAGAACGAATATATTGAGCTTCATACAAAGCGCCATGGAAGGAGGCTTGATTATGAGGAAAAGAAGTAAGTACTAGATATGTGCAAACATATACATACATGTGTACACATACATTACCCAGTTTCCAACACTCATGTATGCCAACTCTCATGAAAGGGAGCCAGATAAATTTGCCATCAAGATGAGATTAAAGCAACACTCAATTTTCCAACCCATACTGTCTTTTTGGACATGTGCCTTTCGAGATCAAAGGAATGATATATTTATCTCTTCCGATGGTAAACTCTACAATGCTTATAGGCTGAAAGACATATCCAGGATTATGTCTCTGTGAATGTTCATTGTGGGTTCTGGGACCCCATATTTTTTTTTTGGGGGGGGGGGGGCAGCTGCCCTTTAACAGCTTATCCTAAAAGATGAACAATTAAGGGTTTTCGTAGAACTGATATGTTGAGCTGAAAGGTGCAGATATCACAGCCTAGCTGCAAACCACAATGATGAATGCAAGATATGTCTTTGATGATGCTTCAGCCACAACAGAAAAGAAGACAATATTATTTTGCAAAGTGTCAGTGGTAGACCTAAAGTCTTCATTCGTTGTTACAAGCTAAGACAATGATTTCACCTACTCTGGGATCCTCAGTTATAATAGAATATCCCTAAATTAAGAAGAAATTATCTTGATAGGTAAGACAGCAATAACAGTGAGCAAAGAATGGGGGAGGGGGGGGGGGGGATTTCATGCTAAAAGAGACGGGGAATAATATTTAAAAAAATTATATTATTCACCATCCTTTTTAGCATGAAATTTTTCATTATTTTTAGCCACACCCTGGCTCACGCCGGGGACCGCAATATAGCCAGGCCATTAATATGACCTGATGGCTGAACGTGGTTTCTGAGACCTTTCCACAGTGATCTTCATCCACATGGTGGCACGTTGTGTCATCGGGTGTTTATTGCTTGTGTGATGTCCTGGTGGGGTAGAAAGTCAGTCAGTTGGGGGTAAAACCTTACAACAGAAAGCCTTGACTATCAAATATGTCCTCAGCACTTTTCTTAAAATAACAGTGTAGTCAACATCAGTATCGGGAGACATGTAGGCTATATAAAGCTTTCATTTGCAATGCATACTGAGAATGTTTACATTAGTTGACAAAACAAGATCACTAGCGCTCAGGTATTGGAAAGAGCAGGTTTTACAGTGGTTTCTTACTGCTCCATCTTTAAGTGTCGAATAGCTAACACACTCAGAGGATTCTCTCTAAGGGCACCTTTCTATGGTAAAACACAGGTAAGTAGGTCTCAGAGTCAGCTTCGACTACAGTTTACAGATATGACAAGGCATATATAAATTAGTTAGTTAGTTAGTTATATATAAATGATACAGACATATCGATGATTCATGGGAACAGGATGTAATAGACCATGTTCACTGTGGGAAATGAGGACATTGAAGACAATTATTGCAGAACAGTTTAGAGCTGAATGTAAGAGAAGATAAACATGTGATGGCAAGGTTGGTCCTGGAGTTTTGCTTATTTGGTAAACTTTTGTTAACTAAACTGGTTTTACCAGCCACACTCACCTAGCCATGGATCACCATAATTCTTTTGTCTGCTTCCCCCCCCCCTCCCTCCCCCCACAGTTTAATACCATTGTCTGTAATGATAAAAAGATGCAAACACTATATGCATTTGTGTTTGTATGAAAGCTGTCATATTTTGAAAGGCTTTTATATGTTTGAAAATTTGTGATGCTGATGTATTTTCTTATTCTTACTTAGGCGAAAGAAGGAGGGCCGTCGACCCCACGAGATGGCTGAGAAAGCTAAAAAGCTCAGGGGTATCCGTGCCAAGTTGTACAACAAGAAGAGACATTCAGAGAAAATACAGATGAAAAAGACGTAAGTAAAATAGTGTGCAGAGTTTAGTGAACTGATACTCTTATTTTCCATTGTTGCATGAATAATCAGAGTGCTTATATTTTATCATCATCTTTTGTCTGCCGTTACATGTCACATAGGGCTCGGATTCAATTCATCCACTCTGCTCTATTGCATGCAACTTTCTGGATTTCTGACATTTAGTTCAGCCCAGCATGTTTAGCCACTCTCAGTAATGTTCTTATTGTTTCCATTAGACATCGTTTGTTTCCCATTTCAGTGCTGGTTTTGTAATTCTTTGCTCATTTCGTCTCAGAATGTGCCAACTATATATCCTTCTTCTTTGTCTTATTGCAGTCGATACATTTATTTGTCCAGACATTTCTCTAATCTCACATTTCTGAATTCATCCAATTTTTATTTTCACGATTTTTCCTCAAACATTTATTTTCAATTGCATTTGACTTTTGTTCCATATCTTTGGTGGTTTTCCGACTTTCACTGGCATATTGTTATAATTGAAGTAACGTTAGAATGGAAGATTCATAGTTTGGTCTGAAACTTTGGGCTTCCTATTTTGTTACGTCTTTTAAAGACCGTACTTGCTTTCAAATGAGCATCATAATTTCCTTTGTTGTATCTCCTCGAAAGTGAAAATTGCTACAAATAGGTGAAATTGTCCGTTACTTTTATTGTTTTGTTCTCTAGCATGGTATCTACATGATCTGTTGTTGGTATCTTCAGTAAGTTTGTTTTCTCATAACTCATTTGTAGTCCTATTGTTAATGCTGTACACGACAAATCATCTGTTTGTCTGTGCATGTCTTTGTTATATTTTTTTTTTTAAACAGAGCAATGTCCTCTGCAGAATTCCGATCTTTCAGTTGTCTGTTCTCTACTCAGTAGACCTTTGCAAAAAATGTTTCTATTACAAAATTATGGCTACTCCAAACAACAAAACAGATAGAATGCCACCCTTTTTCACTCCAGTTATCACAAAAACCAGTCACTTAAACCATTTTGGGTGCACTTCTATAAACATCTGAACAATTCTATAAATTTAATGTCTAATTATGCATATGGCATATGCTTTTTTCAATCAGTATAATTCAGAATGAGGGGTTCTTTTTTCTTTAATGTATTTTTCTAGAATAAGTTTCAGCTTCTTCTCCTCTTTAATTCAGTTGAGGATTACTTTGTAAAAGTTTTTTGATGTAATAGGTAAAAAGGTAATTCCTCTTCAAATATTGCAGGCGTTTCCCCTAGGGGGGGGGGGGGGGTCACAATTATTCCTTTCTCTTGTTATTCTTGGACTGTTTCCTCTTCCCATGTTGTGTTAAATAGTTATAGCACTTGTTAAGTAGTTGTCCCATCTGCCCCCTTTGAACATTTCTGCTATAATATTATTATCGCTTGCTATCTTATTATTTGCTAGGAATGTATTGCCTGTTCTATTTCTGTAACGTTAATCTACCCCTCATAGAAAGTGTGGTCCTTTTTGCCTCTTCTTCAAACGTCATTAAGTCTAGTGGGTCAGGCCTGTTTAAGGCATTCTTAAAAATGTTCTGTGCATCTTTACCTGTGCTCAGCATCAGATGTGAGAATTAGTCTTTGCTTTTGATTGGACTAGCTTGAGGTTTGAATGTGCCAGTTAGTTGTTTTAATTTCATGTATTGTAAAGTATTTTTATTTGCTGCCTGTTCCCCTTATTCAGCCAGTTTTTCAACAATGTATGCTCTTTTATTAGCTTTTCTTCAGCTCTTGTTTACTTGTCTCTTATCTATAATCTTCTTTAGCTTTAATTTCATCTTGTGGTGTCTTAGCATTACAAAACACAGGTTTGGCTGCCTTTGATTGATATTTTATATAATATATTCTATTTAAATGTAAAAACATTATCTATAGATTATATTTATCCTGCACCACCAGATTTTAAACTTGATAATCGTTTGACATAAAGAGATTTGTAGGTCAAATTGTCATGTTTGTTGTAATGTAAAAAAATTTTATCAGACTTCTTTAGCATTAATGTTTTCTGATTGTTTCTATATTTAGCATTAAGATGCATGAGGAGAGGAAGACAAAACAGAAAACTGCAGACAAGGATTCCAAGTACGGAAATCCTACTTATTTGTTGGAGCGTGAGAACCAGATTAGAGCTAAAGTACTTTCAAACACCATCAAACAGAAAAGGAAAGAAAAAGCGGTAAGTTCTACTATTAAAAAAAAAAAACAGGTCTAGAGTGAATTTTAGGTCTAAAATAAACTACAGGAAAACTTGTCCAGTGGGCAGAAAAATCAAAAGTTTGTGTTTGAAGAAAAATATGCCAACCTGGACTAAATATGATATAACCTTGCTGGCACCAGAAGTTTTTTTTCTCAAAAATGGTGTTTTTTTTAAGCAAGTTCATGAACAAAGTTTCACTGTAGGTGCTTTGTATTTAATAACTAAAGGTACAGCAACTTGATCGTTACTAGCAAAGGTGACTGCTTAAAAAGAATAAGGGTATCAGGAACTCACTAAGGACCTGCAGTTGAATTAAATTTGGACTTTAGGCTGTCATGAGCTGACAACTCTGCAGCTGCGGGATCGGTAAAAACAACAGTAACTGAATACTAGTTCCAAATTATATGTTATGACTTGATCTATGAGTGAGATAGAGGGCTTAACATTTTTTTTTAATTAAAAAAAGTTATTTAAAAGGATCAGCTTGATTTCGCTAGTTTTTGTCTAGTATGACCCAGCTTTTCTCAGAATGGCTAGCTGCCTGCTGAGAGCGTCATTCACAGCACAAACTCCATAGCTCCAGCAGCGATCTTCAGGGATCTGTAAAAATTGGCTTTCATGAACTGAACGCACAGCCGTGAAATTAACCCACAACCTTTTAGAGCGCAAGGCAAACAGTTTGACCACTTCACCACAGAGACTCCCAAATGTAAGAGTGCGCTTAGCTTGAACTGAATGTCTTTGACTCAAACTTATATCTGTAGAAATAAGGTTTTGGGAATTGCCACACTGCCTGTGTCCTTCTTAAACTGCACATTCCATTATTTGCTTTCTTCACAACCCACATACATTTGAATCTTCTTTCTACTGTTATATTGTTTACAACAGACTATATTAGAGACCACAATAACCTCTCAGGGTTGTTTTTTTCATCTCCTCTAGGTAATTCATTACCATTTATGCAGTCATTTGTCGTTATCAAAATGCCAGTTTTTGTTTTTATTGCCATAACAGCAGTTACTGTAGTGATACAAATATTGAGGAAACATCACTTGTGGGCAAAGAGAAATTTACTAATTGTTAAATGGTTAACGGTGTTGTGTGTCTTACAGGGTAAATGGGATGTTCCAATTCCAAAAGTCAGAGGAGTCTCAGATGCTGAAGTATTCAAAGTTGTCAAGACAGGAAAAACAAAGAGTAAGTGTAATGTATAGCTCATTATCTTTCTTTACAATATCTGTGATGTTAATGTCTCAATTCATTTAGGGACCATTAAATAACAGCATACGTGTCAATATTTTGCTTTGTGTTATTGATATGATGCCATTAATGGCTATATTACCAGCATAACAGTGGACACAGGATATCAAAGGCACTCTGAGCAGAGAAGCTGGCAGGGGCCTTGAGGCTTTTCAGCATACCATTATGAGAGTGACATGCTAGATGAGGATGATGGTGGGATATTATTCAGTAACCATTGGAGAATTGTAAATATATATGTGTACTGCTGCATGGAACAGAAACATGAAGACTAGATTGATTATTGCTTACACAGAATATAAGGAATATGACAGAGCTTTGGAAGAGGACACCATTTAGTGAATTGAGTGTGGAAAAGATACTGGTACTGAATAGAACACACATTAAGCTAGTATAAATATAAGTAGAATGTACTTGCACTGGAACCCACATGGCCAGAGAAGAAAAATAGGAGACTTAAATGTACGGAGAAGAGAATTGTTGACAAAGTGTGTAAGAAAAGAAGAGGTAACAAAAGATAGAAATGAACTCCAGTGGGGAATAAGGAAAGACATCTGTTTTTTGGCATTGTATCGTTTAGTAAATAAACCTATTTGCTTAGGTGCCTAGTTGGTTGTGTTCTTAGTATGCTTGTTTCCATAGCGAGGCGCACACGCTATCTTGAGGTGACAGGTTCGATTTCCGGAATGGTAACAATAGCCTTCAATTTTTATGTTGTCTAGTGTGTCCATTCTATCTTTATACCGCTCTCTATGAGTGCCGATCAATACATTATCTCTTTGTTAATTATATATGTAATATCTTTTAGTAATTGTCCATTATCATATAAGGTCATAGGACCTAATGTTATGTTCAATGCTGAAACTAGAGCTATGTTTTTTTCTCTTAGGAAAAGCATGGAAAAGGATGGTTACAAAAGTTACGTATGTAGGAGAAAGCTTTACCAGAAAACCAGTGAAATATGAGCGATTTATCAGGCCTATGGTGAGTAATATAAGCAGTAAAAAGACTTTTCATGCTGTGTGACATATTGGGCATGTTTTTAGATCAGTCAGGATCTGATGGGTGATGTGGTCAGTTACATGCTGGGTGCCTTTAACGTAAATATACATTTTCTGCTTCCCGTTTTATAATGTTGTGTCAACCTCAGAGCCATATGATTACCCCAAAAAATCTCGTTCCCATTCATTCTGGTGAGAATTGAAACTCAGTACTGTTTGTGTGGGTTATAGGGCCCCATTTGAGGAGGAGGCAATAGATTTACTGTCTCGTAACAAGCACTTCGTTAAAAAAAAAGGCAACTTATTATGGTTGTTTCATTCAAAGTTGGAGTGCATTCGCCTTAGAGGCGTGAAAACAACAGTCTGCACTACAGATTAGCTAGGTCTGTAAAAAAAGACCTGCATTCAAAACTCAAATTCTGGAGCAAGACCAGTGTCAAGAAGTGGATGAACAGTTAAAAATTTCCAACTGAGTTTACAGCTGTGAACATGAAGAACGCAGCACCACATGTTTGCAAGATGACTAAGGAGAGCTACATGCCTTAAGACTACAATAGGATAGTACAGCACAGAGAGTAGAATGGGTCGACTGCCCTTTAAGAAACTTGACGTGAAAGCCGACTTATTAATAGTTTTCTTAATGTTTAGTGCTAACAGACACAGATATGGCAGTCCAGCTGTAAACCACAAACACAACATGCTATCTGCCCTGCAAGGATGAATGTGAAAAAAAAAACTAGAATGTAATTAATGATGTAAATGGGCATACCAATACAGTCAGCTCATTCAGTAGGTAGTGTCATGTGCTACTCAAAATATTCACTTGTCATCATATTTAGAAAACAGCTTCCATATTGATCTATGGAGTGTCGCACCAATTATAGAAAACAGAGAGCTGGAAAGCACAAGAACCAAACCAGTAAAGGGAATTTCAGCATATGAGGTAATAATGAAATGCATTGGCAAAGTGCTGGAAATTGGTACTAGAAATAACGCTGAGCAGTTAACAGAGAGTGGCATAATGCCAAAATGCTTATTATTTGTCCGTATAAAAATCCTAGCATATCAGTCCAACCTAATCAAGCTCTATCCTCTCAGTGTCTCTATGCTCAACGTACCCACTAGGAGTTGGTTGACATGTCTTTTTTTTCCCATCACAACTGGTTTCTATATGCTTGGCCTCATTTATTAATGCCAGCCATATGGATGGTAATAGAAATAAATATCCTAACCTGCACATTGTCTGGTCATTGCATTAGCCATGTGGCCCTAAATCTTTAGGCTCTGGACCCCTAAGTTGACAGATATATTTTTCTGCCACTTCTCAACACCAGTTGTTATAATACCTTATTTTCTCTACAGGCTTTGCGCTTCAAGAAAGCAAACGTAACCCACCCAGAATTGAAAGCATCTTTCTTTCTGCCGATACTTGGAGTGAAGAAGAACCCAAGTTCAGCTATGTACACTAGCTTGGGTGTTATCACAAAGGGAACTGTCATTGAGGTGAATATTGGTAGCATTTCATGTTAGTTATGACAGTCGAGTATTTTTATGACTGTTGGATTACATGTAAAGATGCCAGTGTGGCCGTTTGACAAAAATATCTGTACATTAGAGAAAATGAAAGCCAACTTTAATGCTCTAATTTCTGTTTAGCTAGGAGTGGTGATCCTACCATCTCCAATAACTCTAAAGTCAAGATTACTTTGTACTCCCTTATCCATGATGGTGCTTGTTCTGCCACTGATCTGCTGGTGCAAGACAGCTGTCTTGTCACACCTAGTATGTACCTTCTTTCCAAGATCCACAGACTCAACAACCCTGGTCGCCCTATCATCTCCGCTTGCTCATGCCCGACAGTATTTATTTTTGAATTCCTTGACAGTGTTTTTCAACCCACTGTCAGCAGCCTTCTCTCATTCATTAAAGATACTAACCATATCCTTAACATGTATGGGTCTGTCAGGTTACTCCCTGGCAAAATATACTACCTTTTCCTGTTGGGCGTATACTTTCTTTATAATTTCTCCCTCATGCTGATGGTTTGCAGGCACTCTGGTTCTTTTTGAATAGGAGGACCAACCCCCACATCATGACTAAGGTTCTTGCTGAATTATTACTTACTTTTTAATTTTTTTTTTTATAGTTTAGCAGCAAGTATTTTGACCAAATTAGTGGTGTTGCGATGGGTATCAAAATATCCCAGTAATGCATGCTCTTTTATGGGTTTTCATTAGCACCTTTAACCACCTTATTCAATTCACCTCCTGGATTTCCACCACTTCTGTGAATTTCTTGGGCATCGAGATATATTTTGGGGAAACTAGTTTGAAGCTAGCAGATCGCTTCCATGATTGCTTCGTGGATATTCTTAATAATACTCTTAAACCAACCCCCTATTCAGCAGCCATCACCAGGAACTAGAGTACCACTCCAAGCCTACGTGGCACAAAGAAACCAAACAATAGTTATAGCCGATACTGCTCACAGCGGGTTGAACATGGTTGATTTTTTTCTCTCCATAAATGGATAGATGGAGCTCCCTGATCTCCACCATGATGAAGCTGCTGGGATTCACCTACATTACATGAAGTGAGGCTTGAGTGGCAGCAGATCTTCACAATGATGGTAGATATTGAGTACCCACACCGTGCACTGAAGATTGGAGACCTCATACGATTAAACAGAATGGGCTGAATGTTACTAGAATATAATCACATTCTTCATGTTGTATAAGAATGAAGAACTAAAATAACTGGGTTTATACAAGCCAGTTCCGTGTGACTGTTTAGCCATAAGTGTAATGAAAATGTTATCCATGGAACATGGAACACTGTAGATAAGAAGAGTGTCAACATGTGCCCACACACCCTCTCTCTTTCTCTCTCTATTTCTCTCTCTCGATTGTTCCATTGCTAACATCTGTTTTCATATTTGTCTAGGTCAACATCAGTGAGTTGGGTTTGGTGACACATGCAGGAAAAGTGGTTTGGGGTAAGATAATAGTTCTTTAATTTGTTTGGATGTTTATTATTCCATGTTTGCCATATAAATTGTAGTGTGACAGCTAACTACTGGCATGTATCAGTAGTATTGAAGTATCACTTTATTACTTATTCTGCTGATTGGAAGTGATCACTAAGTGTTTGGTTCCAAGTCTTGTCTAAGTAATAATTGTTGTAATATTAGAATGGATATAAGCTGCAAGGTTCCCCAGAATAGATCATAAAAGTTAGTTGTGTAGCCTTTACAGGACGTTGCAGAACCAGCCTAAGCATTTTTTTGGGGGCTGTTATGGTGTTTTTCTAGGCAGATTTTACATTCAGTAGTTTTGCATTGCCTCTGAATAGTCGGCTCTATATACTACTGTCTCACCCAACGCAAGACAAAATGTTCACGGCAACAAATACAGTGGAGCAGTTGGCCAAATGGTTAAGAGCACTGGGCTCTCATGCTAAAGACCTAGCTTCGAATTCTTGGCAGTGTGGATGTTGTTTATGTCAGGGGCAAAAATAAAATCATACCCTGCACAGTCCATGCTGACAGCACTAGCAATGCAGCACTAAATCCTTAGGCCTGAAACCCCCCCCTCCCCCCTTCCAAAGAAGTGGTAAATACAGGCAGACATCTGGTGAAAATGAAACCCGTCCAGTAGGCATTTTAGTCTGTTGACATGAAACTACAGTCAGCTGAAGCAACTCATTCGGGCTGAGATCTGAAACTGCCACTGCGAGCATATGCAAGTCTGTAAGTCTATAGCCATATGAGCTGGGATCAGATATAATACTTGTAAGGTTTCATTTTTAAACTGATTTACACACTATGTCCTGACTTATGTGTATGTTTAGATTTTAACACGTATAATAATTATTACTGTTGTTCTCTTACAGGTAAATATGCACAAGTCACCAACAACCCAGAGAATGATGGCTGCATCAATGCTGTCTTGCTAGTATAATGAGCTTGGGGGGGGGGGGTGTTGAGCACAATATAATAAAATATGCGTACTGATTTAAATATCTCTGTTGTTTTTTTCCTGTTTTTGTTTAGTTTAAACTGAATATGTACTTTAATCACCATTACAAAGATCTTTTATGAGTTTGAACTGAATGGTAATTACCTTTATAGAAATAAAAAGCTCAAACCTAAAATGGTAATCTTCAGCATGTGAGCTTCTTATTAACATTTACCAGCTGTAAACTCTGGCGGAAAATTTCTGGTTGTTTGTCCACTCCTAGGCTTTTGTCCTGATTTAGAACATTAGTTGTGTGTGCACATCCATTTAACAGAAGCAGCTCACTTGTGTGCAGACTCTGGTTCCCTGCCTCTCCGGCAGATGCACTGTGACTTTGAATAAAACACCCCTAATTAGTTGTCTTCTATGACATGCTTATTAGGGACGCAGTGGGCATATTCTTTATTCTCCAAAATAATCTAGCTCCAGAACTCGCACAGGGACGTGAACACATACTACTGAACAAGTCTCATAATATAAGTTTGTGTTTGCGTCTTCCTATAAACTTTTACGATAGTAATGTACAAAACAAGTGTTGTCCGGGCCCTATCTTAGACAAGAAAAGACCCACTGCCACTTGTGTTTGGGTTCCGGGGCCCGAAACGTTACGTTTTAGTTTTGAAAAAACAAGAATAGTCAAAATTTCCCACTGCCTACTCAAAAGCATGTGATAAGAGTCGACTAATTAAGAGCTTCCTTCAAAGACGGAGTTCATCTGCCTGAGAGGCAAGGAACCAGCAGTCTGCATAAACATGAATCAGATCTGTAAAATGGATGCACATGCAACACTCAGGTTCTGGAACAGGACTGCAGTCAGAAGTGAATGAACAACCAGAACTTTCCACCAGAGTTTTTGGTGAACACGAAGAAGAAGAAGATATAAAATACATAATGATTAAAAGCCAAGTTCAAACACATGATGGATAGATGGAATATCTAAAGGTGTCAATCTCAGCATCCGTGCAGCACACATCAAGGCTCATGCCAGATGTCTCTTCACAACCTGGCTCTGAAAGGTAGAACAGGGATTAGAGAAATTCAGGATGATTAAATTGAGTTTTTTATTTGTTTTGGTCATGTGATGACTAGGCAGGCTTTGGAAAACATTGTGAAATTTCAATTTCAAAAGATCAGCATTAGAAAAAGTGATGGTGGTTTCAAGTTTGGAAAGAAAAAGTGGCAACCAAGGAATCTATAGCTGATAAATTCTATATGTAGCACTTTAGTACACATGAAGTGACAACCAAGGGATCTATAGCTGATAAATTCTATATGTAGCACTTTAGTACACATGAAGTGACAACCAAGTGGTCTATAACTGATAAATTCTATATGTAGTACTTTAGTACACTTGAAGCATCATCTCTCGTCAGAGTCAACTGATAATCAGAGAGTTGAATTGAAGCAAGTGCTATCTGCAGCAATGAACCTCAAGGGACTCGCATGCTCAAGAAGATGATGCAATTACAAGACCCAACATCACAGCCCTCGGAGCATTCCCCTAAGCGCTCTTTCTCCATCTTCAGCAGCCAGGACAGAGTTCCAATACCAATGGTACTAGTAGTAGTCTGATTATACTTCTGTCCTTTCCTCTGAGCATCAAGTATCGACCAGAACCTCTTGTCACCACTCGCTGCATCGCTCTCACCAGACTGATGATCCAATTGCTTTTCCGAATTGTATGCATGCTCCCATAAGACCTTATGCATCTTCATTTTCCAAAACTCTGGCATGCCCTAGAGAAAAGATTCAATAATGCTCCTCACCTTTGACCTCCAAAGCGAAACATTCCTGAACTCGCCCTCCTCAGCATGTCTAATCTTGTCCTCTGCCTCAACCATCCATGACTTCCATCTTATCAGCCACTGATCCTTAACTACATCCACTGCTTCATGCAAAGGGTGATTTGTGTCTACTCTGAGATACCTGCAACAGTCAGCAAACCAAGGAGATATCTCATACACTCTATCTGGTACAGCTGTTGTGTGTCACTTGTATACACATAAATGTAAAAAAAATAATGTCTCCATTATCTCATGGTTATTGACTAGCATGAATATTAACTCTTTGAATCCCAAGGAACGCATCATACGTTCATAGGTTTCTGCCTAGAAGCCGAATGAACGCATGATGCGCCGATTTTTCGTCCCTCTTGACTACACCTTGGGCCTGTGATGCTAAACCCTCTGGGTCTCAAAGAGTTAAGTGAGGGTGCAGGAGCTCACAATGCAAGTTGAGACTTGAGGAAGGTTGCAGTACTTGAAGTCTCTGAGAAATGTGCTGAGTGTTTGCGTGGCAAAATTGGTTTGCACGTACTGAGCGGTTAGGTATAGGAATAAAAAAGACTGCTCAGAAATAGATATGATAAGGGAGACCTGCTGAAATTATTGTGTATGGATGCAGGTTATCGTCTCCAAGTTGTGGAGATTGATAGGCAGTTCGGACTTGGTGTCAGTTTGTTGTGCTGAAGTGATTAGTGTCCTGCTTGCATCGTTGTGCATAGTTCACAAGTTACCACTTCCAGGTTGTACAGCTTGGTCAGGTTATACAGACTTCATGCTGGTTTTTCTTCAGAGGTATTTCACTCATGTACCGATGTTTGATGGGAGTGTGAGGCATGGAAGCAAGGACTTGTAATGTTTTGGTAACTTCATCCTACTATAGTAATTGTATGGCGTAAATAAAGTATATTACTGATGTGTCATGGTCTTAGTTAGTTAGTTGGGTTATAGTTAGTATGAACCCCAACGTCCGATGGCTAATAGTACCAGTTCTATGTTGATTAACAAGTCGTCTGGTGCGAGTCTTGTTTTCTGCTATGCCGACCTTAATTCCCAAGTCTGCCATTCTGGCGAGTAATGTGGATTCACAGCCCCTAAAGTCTTCTATCCTTCCCATTTTTCTAAGGGCATAAACAATATCAGCATGATCCATAGGCTGACCGTCGGTAGTGATAGCAGATCCAGCCAACCTATCAGTTCTTTTATTTCCATTAACGCCTGTGGAACAAAAATAAAGGTGACTGCACACGCACAGTGGACTTCTGTAATGATTCAAGACAATGTCTTCGCACTGAACCCTCTGGATCATACTCAATCAATCACTGAGTATACATACATGGGTGTAGTTTTCTCTTTCGAGCCAGGCGAACGCTTGCGTCACTGCCATCACCTCCATCGTCATGCTGCTGGTTGTCATGGAGAAGGCACTGTTGGCTTCTTTGACTGTTCTGAGCGTGCTGTGAATGCCCATGCGCTTCTTTTTTGGCATATAAAGGATCTGTCTGTGTAGATTATTGCATCTGCAATAATCATGGTCATACCAGTATTTAATTCAAGTGGGGCTCAAGTTATTATGAATCCCTAGACACTTATTTGTTGGTCAAACAACCACCTAAATCACAACAGCCAAGAATGACCCTCAGTCATTAAAGCTGCATTCTGTATGCGCTCTAGTTTAACCAGCTCTCTGTGAGACTTTGAGCAGTTGTAGTCCCTAATCTATCAAAGACAGAAAAAAAAACTGCAGACAAGCTAAGAGCTGAGTGTCTGAGAAGAAACATGTCAAAGACATGTGATGGCAATAATGGTCCTGAAATCTCAATGCATTTTTTTGTGGAAGATGATTTCTTAATGTGAGCTGTTTTTACTCGTCACATTCGCTATCGTCATGGGCTGATTCCCATGCTCATCTATAGCAAAATAAAACACTATCCTCTGGAAAGACAGAAAGGTGAAAAAAAAAAAAAGTAATACAGCACAGATGTTAAAATGTCTTTAATTTGAGAATGTCATATTTCTTATATTAATCACTCATTACTCTTATATTGCAGCTTCAATACATTTTAAAAAATGTGTTTATTTCAGTAATATGCAAATAATATGATTGTGATAATCAAATGATGCTATACCATACAAGGCATATACCAAAAGAGGAGAGGGACGTAGAGTAAAAGGCAAACCAAGAACAAGTTGGGACGATAACGTCAGAGAAACTCTACAGCACCACAATGCGTCTTTGGTCAAAGCAGCTAGAAGAGCACGAAACAGGTCCTTATATCTCCCTCAACACTCGAAGCGGTTAAAAAAAAGGACGTAGAGAAGCAGAACAAGATAATCAAATGAAACAACTGAAAGTAGTGAAATTTCCATTAAGTATTTATACAAATCTCACATGCCAACAGACGTGTTTATACAAGACTAGGAACTGCTCAGCCTCCTGCCCAATTGAGACAACTGCATCTGACTGTCAGTTTGAGAGATGTAATGAACTGTCTACCATGATGGGCAAAACATATAAATTGACGGATGTATCATTTGACACATTACAACTGAGAAAATAAGGCCGGTCTTTTAGTGAAATGCTTTTCACAAACAATATCTTAGCAGGTTGAGGGCACTGCAACAACCTAATAGATTCTTTGAAGCATCTTGAACAACTAAGTTAACAGATTAAGAAAAATGGTGAACATACAGTGCCCTGATTTCTGTCTGTGTATTTTTGTTTGCAGGTGTCTAAAAAGAACATCTTTAATGATACTGACAAGTGTGGTTACTTCTGTCTCCTACTGAGTTGAACCCTAAAACAGTTAATAAATTTCAAGGTCACTGGTAAACAGTTCTAAAACAAAATGAAAGTTCCTCTTACACAGAACTATCTGCAATTTCATCAGTTATTTGAGAAAAATAGCCAGCTGACTGGATATTTGAAATCAGTGGTTCTAAAGCAGAATTACTTTTAGAAGTTTACTATGAATTTCATATGGTATCTATTCTCTCTCTCTCTCTCTCTTTCTTTCAAGCCATATTTTAAATACTCGACACCTTTCTCTTCTGTAATGGAGCAGGGTGTTGAAATTAATCTTAATAATGTTGCATGCACTAACTATAGTATCATTAAGATAGGCTGGCATTGCAGTTTATTCTATCTGAAGTCGCTGGACTGATGTTTGAAATAAGCGGTCTTGAACAATGAACTCACCCTAACAGACTCAGAATCCCTGCCCAACCACTAGAAATATATGTACTTTTGGCACTACTCCTCAGAAGAATCACAAGAGAGACAATGTTGAACCATATGGACAATAGCAGAGGTGGTGACACACACAAAAAACATAGGAAGAATACATCCCTCTTACAGGGGTTCTGGCATCTATGTCTATTACACTACATCATTACTTGCTCCTGGGTGATTTAATTACACTCTAGAACTATGATAAGATTTCTTGGCCTGAAGGAACTTTAATCTCCGTTCTGTCCATGCAGCCTCATCAGTAAATCCATGAGTGTTGAAGAAATCCAGTAGACTCTGGTACCTCTCAGTCACATCGAAGCCAATTAGCTCTTGGAGTTTGTGAAGGTCAACAGGACATAACATCATTGGTTGGTCAAAGTCTTCCTGCAGGTGACCTAGGACAGTTATAGACAAAAAAAATAACAGATACAGACAACAAATTTATGGTTTCTTTCTTCACTGGGACAGAATCCACTGTTTAAATTTAATAAATATTATAAAATAAAAAGAAGCAATAAGGAAAACAAAGCAAGATATAACACACAAAAGAACTCAAACAATACACGAGATAAGGACAATTTAGAACAAAATTAGGCACCTATGTATTACGGGATGCTGTAAAATAATCTCTGCTGTCTGTTTTTCGTGTTAATAGGCAATTTAACATTACGTAGTTTGCCTCAACATGGTTACATACTCCTCTGATTTGGAATTGATGCAGAGTAGTCTGCTGGCAAATTAGGAAAAGTAAAGTAAAGCACCATTTCCCATGCCTTTGGGCATATAGGGCTAGACCTATATTTTTATAGACCAATCGGAACAAGATGGGTGATGTGGTCAGCATCACGTCGGCCGCCTTTACTTCCTGGCACTCTGCGCCCGGTACTCACTCAAGGCTGGGTCGACCTGGGAGCTGGCAAATTATCTGTAGCTTAATCAAACCAAATATGTCAGAATGATGAAACTAACACTCATAATTCTCAAAGCCAAAAACATTTCTGGGAAGTAAAGATACAAGAATTCATTTTTGAGAAAGTCCGATTCTATGACAACCTAAACCTACAACCTCTGCAGGCGAGTGTGTAGCCACAACACCATGGTGTCTTCCTTTTCAACACTTAGCTTTGACAAAATTGGTCAAGTATATCTCTATAAATGACTTTAATTGTATTAGTAATGAAATGTTCTAATTAACCTCTTGTGTCATTAAGCTGTACTGCACATAGGCACAGAGGTCTTTGATAGATCTCCATGCATGGCGGTTCGGCTGTGCAATCTGTTGGTAGGTCTTGGATGTTCGTCCAAGTGGACTTTTGGCTTTTAAATGACTTTAGTTTTGTATTAGTACATGAAATTTACTGTCTAATGTTGCAGTCTTTTCTCTCATTCAGCGGCTGATGTATATGGCACAACCTTTTTCTTTGATAGATCAATCACCATTACGGAGCAGATGGTTCTTCTTAGTGCTCATGAACTCTCAACTCCTGGCCTATTTGTATGCTGACTATTGGTTCCTTATCTCTCAGGTAGAGGCACTCTGATTTTGAAGGAAACTCTCCTATTTTTGTGGAGGGGGGGGGGGGGGGCAATGGCTGTACTACCCGCCCCTAAATGGGGCCCTGAAAGCCACTTTTGGATATCATATGGTTGATATTAGATTTTTACTTCCCAGAAATGTCCTGGTACCCATTTTAAAATACACTGACCCTGAAATATTAATCCCAGCTTCAAAGTAGTAGTAGTTCTATTCCATGAGTTACTTCATCACAGTGTTAGGAACTGGGGGAAAAGGGGGAGGGGTGTAAGGATCTTGGGTGTGCTTTTTCTAATGCACTGCATAAGTTGATATTCATTTCTATGAAGCTGTTAATGATGCTGTCTTGTATTCACAGTGGCTCTCTAGGGCATTTGGTACTAGGATATTCTCACCAGATGCCCAAACTATCTTTGCTTTTTAACGAACTGTATGACTAGTTTCATCCCTAGTTGTCTAGTAATTTTATTTATTTTTAATTTGATTTCTTCTTCAAACTAGTTGCTTGACTTTCTTAGTTCCGCAGACTATCTGTTGCCTATCTTACATTTCCTCTATTTTTTATGTGTTCACTTTAAAAGGGCTGTGTTCACCCTTAAAAGGGCGACTGACACATTCTGTTGTGGCTGAAAGCCAGGCTGCATTATCTGTGCCTTTTGGCCCATTATGTTCCATTATGTTCGAGTTCAGCAAGCTCCTAATTAGTTGCCCTTTATGACATGCTTGTTGAAGGCAGTAGCTTTATTCTCTTCCCCCCAACCCCACCCTTCAAACAGGACCCTGAAACCTACCTGAGCCATTCATGCAACAACGGAAGTATACACAGTGTGGTAATCCAAGTAAGTGACAAATTTCATGGACCACAAGTTTACAGCTTCGTTGTAGGATCAACCTCTGCTTTTCTGCAGAACTGACTTTCTTACTCTCCTTGATGTCATACCTAGTGAGAATTTTAGAATACATATTCACATGTACTTCAGGCACAAGATTACTGTTACTTTTAGACTCTTGCAGTATACTGTTTTTTAGATATCTGTTGTTGGCACCATTCTGTCTTTTGAGATGATGGTGTTATATTTAGCTATCAGGGGGCCTGGGAATCATAGTCCTTGGTGATGGTGAGTGTCAGAGCATAAAGCCTGGATACTTTTGATGAGACTATGTTTTGCCCAAGCAGCATGATCTCTCACTAAGCCTGCCTTGTTTACTCAAAAAGGGAAGGTAACATCAATATGTTTGGAACAAAGCAGGCTGCAGGAGCTGCCAGGTCAGCAAAGCAGTGCTCTATACTTCTGCCTGTCCGAGCTTCTTTCCTAGGCCAGTTGCGATACAATGCTGTCCTGCTATAACATCAAGATTTCAGGTTGTATTTCCTCTCCCTAAGACAAGGCTACAAGAAACAACATAAAATGGTTCGAATATGTGTCAAGACTACCACCAGATATGCATGCACCAGAAAGCACTGTCAGACACAATGGAACCACAGCTAGAGGTCAACCACGCAAGCAATGCACAGCTGGAGTAACTGAAGCTGTAAATACTAGCACATACCAAGGCTCGCACCTGATGCCTCTTCAAAAACCTGATGCTGAAAGGTAGAATAGGACTAGAGGAGAAGGAGAAGGATAAGACTTAAAACAATGGACCAAGAAAAAACAGTGATTAGTAAGGATTATCATCACAGCACGCCGGACAGATCCATAGGTGCTCCAATCTCCTCCTCAAAAGCTCCACAAGTGTAAAACAACTGATGATGCCTGTTCTGTGTTGGTTAATGAAATGTCTTGTCCCCTTAGTGAAATTTTCATTTTTTGCAGCTTCAGGCTGCACCCCAATGTCCATCAGTCTAGACAGGGATACAGAGTCATGTCCTTTGGTGTGATCCTTGGTACGGTAAGTGCAGCGCATGGGATTGATAACATCACTTCTGTTCAGTACTGGACCAGCCATAGCAACCACAGTGTCAGCAAGATAGTCTGCACGCTCGTTCCCTTGAACACATGCATGACCTGGCACAAAGATGAAGGTTAAGGCAGCTATTCGTGAAGTGCTTAGTTTTGCAATCGATTCTTGCCGGATAAATCTAGCTTGGATTTTTTTAAAGCATATTCATCGAGTCACTAAGAATGCATACGTGTGTGAAGAAAAAACATTGACATCCTTAAAGACCTTGGCTCATAAAATATGGTCTAAGAAAACTGAAATATGTTGGCCACATCAAATGCCACAGTGGCTTGGAAAGAACAATACTGGAGGTAAGGTACCAGGGAAAGAGCTGCAGGGCCGATCAGAATGAATATGGGCACAGGATGTGTGAGACACTTTGGGTAGGAAAGAGAACGAGGTGGGACAGCCAGCAAGAATATGGGTACAGGATGTGTGAGACACTTTGGGTAGGAAAGTGAACGAGGTGGGACAGCCAGCAAGAATATGGGTACAGGATGTGTGAGACACTTTGGGTAGGAAAGTGAACGAGGTGGGACAGCCAGCAAGAATATGGGTAAAGGATGTGTGAGACACCTTGGGTAGGAAAGTGAACGAGGCAGGTCAGCTAGCAAAGTTTCTTTCAGGCAGACTGTGATGACAGTGACATTTTGTAAAGGATCTGCAAGATGATGATGAGGACGTTATGTCTGATATCCTCATCAATGTGCTCATCCACCCAAATATGACGTATCACAATGCAACTAAAATACATGATAAGAGACCTCATATCCATCACCTGTATGGGGAAAATGTTAAGTAAAGGAGTTGTTTCCATGCCTTGAGGTATATTTGGCATATGGTGCTCACCACATATTTTTTTTTTAGCTCGGTCATTGTCTAATGGGCAAAATAATTCAGTATTATGACTGGCTTCCTTGACTTCACAAAAGAGCAGAACACTTCCTGTTACTCATTTAAGACTGGCTGTAAAGAGAGCTCAGGTTATTCCTGAAAATCCATTTTGGTGGGCATTTTATTAACACACGAACATCAGGCTCTGGCTTGGCTCCCATGGAAAATGCCGCCAAGAGGTATTTGATGTGGGTGTGATATGGATAAGCCAGCGCTATTTCCCAGAAAGCTGTTTTTGGTGACCTGCCTACAAGATTCATAGCTATCTGAAAACCCATATTCTTCAGTTGAGTTTAGTTGTTGATTCAAGAACTGACATCACAGTACTCGGAGCATTCTGTCTCCATCTTCAGCAGCCAACGCAGAGTTCAAATACCAATGGTGCCAGAAGCAGTCTGATAATATGTCCGTCTGTCCTTTCCTCTGAGTGTCGAGTATTGGCCAGATTCCCCTTGTCACTCCTCGTTGCATCTCTTCCACCAGACTGATGATCCATGCACTCCTCTGAATTGTACTTGTGCTCCTATAAGGCCTTGACCACGTCTGCCTTATCATGCATCAGCATTCCACTAAGCTACTAATATTCCACAAATAATTCCAGACCAGGTGATGTGATTATCTATACAGATGGCTCTATGTCGAGGGGGAGATGAAGTGCATGGGGGTTTATAGCGAAAGCGAATGGATGTCGCTTAGTGCAACAAAGCCTGCATACGATATCGTAATGTCTAGTTTGAGAGTGGAGGTGCAGGCAGTCACTGCTGCCTTCCACTGGCTTGAGAATCAGCTGTACGTAAATACATGGCGTGATTGTAACTGACTCACAGAGCATGTTGAGAAAGGTGGAGACTAACATGCTCTGTGCAGAGTGGCAAGCATAACTTCTGAGGTCCCGGGTAGTTAGCATCCTTTGGATATTTTCTCTAGGTAATGCCGGTGTATTGGAAAATAAGCAGGCAGACTGACTGGCCAGTTCTGTACCATTTGGTGGTGAAATGATGCATGACAAGCCAGATGTTGTGAGAACCCTTTGGGAGCAAGTGAACAATGTGGAGGAACACAGATCATTATGGTCTGAGGAGAATGACGCTGCAAGGAGTTACCAGGGGATCTGGCCGACGCTTAACACTCAAGGGTAAGGCAAAATGGATACACAATCAGACAGTTACTGGTGCCTTAAGAATTGTAACGCTTCACTAGCTGCTGAAGATGGAACAGAGCGCTTATGGGAATGTCCTGAGTGCTATGATGTCGATTCTTAATTCAACATTTTCTACTAAGCTGTGCAGAACCAGCCAGTCTGTCCTCCTGTTCATTTCTTAACACATCGGAATCCCCTGGAGAAAAGATCCTGACAATGCAGTCCCCACCCATCATCTCCAAAGTGAAGCATGCCACTGCATGAAGCATGACTGTCCTCACCTTCCTCAGCATGCTTTCTGAGTCAGTTAAAATCATGAGGTGTGTGTATATTGTGTTCTCTAACCAGTGGAAAGCTGCAGTGACTGCCTCCACCTCTATTTTAAGCTGTAAATTGTGGTATCATTAGATAGGCTCTCCTGCATCAAACGTCAACAACTAGCTTTTGCTAAGAACCTCTAAGCACTTCTTTTGCCTCCTGACACTGAACCATCTGTATAAATAATCACATCACCTCAGTGAGCCTTATCTTGAATTAACTGCTGAATTTCCACCTCCATGGCACTTGCTGGCAAATATCTGCACTTTCAGCTCAATGTGATTATGACTACATAAATCTGACTGTTCCACTGGCACTCTGGCCCACTCTTCTCTCCTCACCTAATGTTCTCCAGGATGCAAACCTGTCTGATTGTGTCTTCTGCCTGAGCCATCCATGACTTCCTTATCAGCACTGACCCTTAACAGTGCTTTGTGCAAAGGTTGATCTGTGTCCGCAGCTACTGTGAGGTATCACTTCGCCCGCAGCACCTTGAACCTATCTGCAACAGTCAGCAAACCAAGAATAAATCGCATACACCTAGTGGGGTGTCTTGTCTCAGGCACAGCCCAGAATGACCCACACAGCTGCATTCTGTATGCACTCTAGTTTAACCAGCTGAATCTTTGAGAAAGAGAGCTGTCAAAGTCAATAATCAATCAGACACCTTCAGGTGTCAAGAGTAATATATTTAAAGAAAGAATCAGTCAAGAGTGCAGCATGAAGCCTAAACTCCACAGCTCCAGCGATGATCCCCTGAAATTTCTGTATATAGAAGAAAAGATTACACTGCAGAAGAAAAAAAAAACTACTATGAGATCAACAATGATTACGTTTTATGCTGATCTTAACAGCAGTCAAAAACATACATGTTTACATTAAAAAAATAAGCTCACCAGTGTTCGGATGAGAAAGTCAGCGCAGGATTGTATCTCATCAGACTGAAAACTGCCACTCTTCTATTCCCTGCTGCCATGCCTGCCACAAAGAGATCACTGTCATCCCCATAAAGATCATATAGGGTTAAACCAATCAGGCATAAAGCATCTCCGGGAATGATACTCCGTATCTGTGCAAGAATGGAGTCAACCTCTATTTGTATATGCTTGGTTTTGGCATTAAACCTGTGGACAGAAAAAAATAAGTTTTTTGCTGATCATATCTTAAATGTATAAGCATTGGTTTTTTTCTTTTCCTCCATTCATCTATCAATAAGGGGGTCTCAGTGGTGTGGCAGCTAGATGCCCGCCTGCAGATTGGAAGGTCATGAGTTCACGTCTTGCTGGAGCCTGACTTATTTTCAAAAGTGACCTTGACTCCCAAGTCAACCCAAACTTGAGTGGTACCAGGTACAGTCCAGGCAAGTAAGGGTGGCTGGCGTAATGCTGACCACATCACCCACCAAGTGCCGAGTGGTCTATACAAATGTAGGTGTAGCCTTATATTCCCAAAATGCCTAAACGTGTGGAAAAGGGACCTTTACTTATCTATTAATAAGAATGCAGGGCACATTGCTTTGCAAACGCCAGTGAGACCAACCTTTGTACACATCATGTGGGGTCTCTTCTAGGCAGAGTAGATTTCATAAAAGGTAACAGGCTTTACCGACTCATGCAGGCTAGTTTCTGGTACAGTGGCTTAAAAGCTTATTCATGTGATTTATAATTACCCGGGAATTTTTCAAGATTTCATGAAAATGCAAGACCTGCTATTTGTAACTATCAAGGAGATTAGGCATTCAATCTCTTTTTTTTTTTAAAAGGAGACGATATGATATTATTTTCAATCTTTAGCTGTTCACTGTTATTTCTAAGGCCTGTGATAAATCTTGAGAAAGGCAATAAATATAGGAAGTTGCTTCAAAGAGTTCAAGTAATAGTCAATTCATGTTTGAATTAGTAATTACGACACGAAGATTATAGTTTTATAAGTTCTTAAGGACCCTGATAAAATGACATGAAAGTCACGACTTTCACATTTATTCTCTAATAGAAGTTACAGATGTCTGTTTGTGTCTTGTGCATGTAGCATCGTCAGAGTTAAAAATGTCCTTGGTTGAGCAACCCAGAAATGTCAAACTGTGTTTTGCTTGAGGATAGAATGACTTGGTGTGAGTTGGCTAAGAGCTTATGCTACACTGGGAGACAGAAAACAGAAGGCTGTGGGCAGACATGACTACCAACACCGCACAACATTGACTATAAGAAGAAGAAAAGGTCTAAATGGCTACACTAACCATGTACGCAAGATATTTACAAAGTGACTGAAAATAGAAACGTCTTTCAACAATGAGCGAATTTAAGATAATCAGAACATTTGTTAATTTAAATATACAGTATTTTGAAGAAATATATAAAATGCAGACATCGAGGATTAAATCACTTTTAGTATAACAAAATACAGAATCCATAGAATTCTGTGAAAATGAACTAAAAAACCCACTTATTATAGGCATTAACAGCTGTTTGCTACCAATGTGGGTTCTGGGGACCTATTCTGGAGAAGGGGGGATGGGGGAAAGAATAGACCTACCCTCTCTTTTACAAGCATGTTGTAAAAGGTGACTAATGTCTCCTCGCAAATATTTTGTAGTCAGTAAATTATTCTTTCTCCTCCTTCTTTACCTTGTTCGTTTTCTTCTCCTTCTTGCTAATCTTTATTCTCTGTCTTGCTTTTCTTCTTCGTCTTCTTCCTTTTTTTTTCTCTTTGAATTCAATTCAGTTTTGGATGCAAACACAGATAGGATATGCAGTACACTAAGATTGCTGCACATTGTGTCTTTAACTGGAGACAATGAGAGAGGATCCTTTCAATGCCAAAGACACATCAGGCTTATGGTGTTAGATCTATATTAGACTCAAGACCTTTGGCTCGACAATCCAACATACTCTGAATGTGCACTCAATTGTATATTTCATCAACTAAAACGTTTTTCATTTGGTAACCTACCAGTGAGAGTTCCCTGGCTCCCATTGTGGGGGAAACAAGAATAGACCCACTGCCTAGCCAAAAGAAGGTATGTCTTATGAATTGATTAACTGGGAGCTTTTTTAAAGTCCAGGTACATCTGCCCAAGGGGCAATTAACAACCAACTGCACACAAATAAGCCAGTAAAATGGATGTATAAGCAAAACTCAGGCCCTGACAACAAAGCTTAAGTCCAAATGGACGAACAACCAGGATTTTTTGCCAGAGTTTACAGCTGGTGAATAAAGAAGAAGAAGAAAATTGGTAACCTGCAACATGAAATATTACATCTTGTGAAAATGTATTTAATTATATGGGGCAAAATAATAACATTGTAAAGAATTTTTGTAGTCCGATGTAGAAGAATAACAATGAAGTAAAATATAAACATTACCTGTAGAAGCAGAAAAAATACGATCAATTACCTTGTTTGCAGACAGCTCTTCCTTATTCTTGCCTCAGCCCGGCCAGACGACCTGCAAGATGGCTTTTTCACAAATATCAAGTCATTATTTCTTTTCTCAATAGCAAGCTCATTCAGGACTTGCACAGGGACACACAGAAACCTGCGGATATAGTCTATCAAGCTATCAAATGATATGTCGGCATCACTGAAGTCACCAATCTTTGCAATATAAACTTTACCTTCAGGATATTTTTCACACAGAGTGTTTCCATCTGATCTGAAAGCCTGCTTCATAAACTTTGACTTCCGTTTGGAAAACCATGGATTTTCTTTCAGATATTCCCTGAAAATGAAATTTTCAACATTTTTCATAATTCTGACAACTGACAAACTGAGTACAGAGTGCTAGAAAAATATTTTAAAAGACCAATCGGCAATCAATTCAGGATGTTATCAACTTTATGCAAACAATTCAGGATGTTATCAGCTTTATGCAAATACAGCCACGGTTGACCAGGGAACCCAAATCAAATATTGCAATCTCTTCAATGCAGATTTGAACTCAAGACCTTTAAGTTTAAAGGTAAGCTTCTAACTGCTCTGCTAGAGCATTCCATGAAAAGAAGCTCACAATTAACAGTAATTCTGCTTTAAAAACAACCTAAAGATTTATATATGACAATCAAGTACAAAGACTGGAGTGTTTGAAAACTATAATGCAGCTAAGAGTATCTGTTAATAAGATAATAGGAACTGTGTCAAGGATATACATTAATATTTGAAACATTTTTACAAACAAAATAAAGCACAACACAAATACCTTTATCCATAATTTGTTCAACAGTGAATAAATGTATAAAATGTAAAATATAAAGCAAAGTAAATAAAACATTAAACAAAACAAAAAAACAGTCAGCAATAATAACAATAAGAAACAGCAAATATTCTAAACACTATTTAAGAATCACTGTAAGTTGTTCTCAACAGTATGTAACTAAAACAGCTAGAATAGACATTAGAATATACTTCGTAACTTACTTCATAACATGGACATTAGAGATTTATGTAGGAGATTACTGATGCCTATCATCATGTCTGCCTCACAACCCTATGACTGACTGACTGACTTTCTACCCCACTAGGACATCACACAAGCGATAAACACCCGATGACACAAAGTGCCACCATGTGGATGAGGATCGCCGTGGAGAGGTCCCAGAAACCGCGTTCAGACAATTGGCCACATTTATGGCCTGCCTATATTGCCTGCGGCCCCTGGCAAAAGCCAGGGTGGAGCTTCAAAAAAAAAAAAATTCATCCTGAAAACGACGAAAATTGATTGTACACAACCCTATGAGTGGATTGTAGGTATTACATGTTTTAACAGGATCACTGAAATGAGCTTAGGGAAAGGAGTTAAAACTTTCGCAACTGTGACCTAGAAAAATACAAAACAAAAGTTTGCGTATTTTCAATTTTTCTGACATTCCCGGAAACAAATCCTAAGAACAGGTTATACCCACACATAAATCCTAAAATTTATTATGCAAAACTACAAATACTATAGAGAGTAAGGGGAGTAATCAATACAAAATTAATACAGAATAGAATCACCTGGCTTACAGCTCTTGTGGCCTACAAACTAATTACAACATGACCTACAACTTAATTACAACATTACCTACAACTGTCTATATACAAAGCCAGTTTCTTTAAAGGATCCCACCCCAGAGTAAACTTAGTTGAAAAGCCCTGATCAAGACCCTGTTCTGTCTGTCAGGTTTTGAAGAGATGCCTCACGGCCCCAGATATTCCATCTATTCATGCTTGTGCTTTATGGGAAATAGATAGAAGAAAGTGTGTCCCGATGGATATGCCCTGTCCCAATGTGCTGGTGTCACCTTTCCATCAGAACAGTGGTTCTCGATTAGTGGATCTGCAGAACAAATGTAAGGGCTCCAATATATCATTTATACCTCCACCCCCAACCCAACTCCCAACCCTCTTGTTCTGTGATTCTAATATAGATTTACTCTTTGGGAACAAGTGAAAAGGTTCTCAGCTCAAATGCACGCACTACGTTGCGTATCCCTGTCTAGACTGATGAATATAGGGGTGCAGCCTGGAGCTGCAAGAAATAAACATTTCACTAAGGGGTCAAGCAGTTTCATTAAAACACGGAACTGGCATCAACAGTCGTTTTACACTTGTGGAGCTTTTGAGAAGATTGGAGCACCTATTGGATTTGTCCAGAGTGCTGTGATAATAATCCTTTCTAATCACTAATCACTATTAACTCTTTGGGACTCTTTTGATTTAATAAGACTATCAACAAGTATGGTGTCCTTGACAGACCTAAGAAAAAAATTTACCAAGGTTCTGCAGGTTTTATCTAATTGGGAAAAACCGTTTTAGAATAAACAAAGCAGGTTGTAAAAGGGATCTACATGGGCAACACTTGGTCTCTACAAACTGCCCAGGCTATAAATGACACTACTTAACACAAATGGGTCTTGTAAGTTACACTAGCCATTTTCATGGGCTGTGATTAGTACCCCTCTCTATAACACAAAATAACACTGTCGTCTGGAAAGAGGGAAAGGTGCCAACAACAATTTCATCTGTAGGTGTTTTGGGAAACATTCTAAATCAAAAGCCTGGATAAGTCAGCATCTTACTGTTCATTTAACTGCTCTTCAGTCATCTAATATTATTTTAAAAAATTTTATAAATCACAGATTTAACCAGTTTAGCCTCATGTGCTTGAATTGTATTAAAACGGACTAATTCTGTTCAAGAGAAATTTAAAAGAGAGAAATAAAATATTTCAGCCGCATTAAATGTTAAACTTCTTCAGTCCCAAAGAATTATTTCTTCAAACCTTTCTATCTCAAGGAGTTGAGCTTAAAATGAATGAGTTCAACAGAGACACTATGGGATAGAAGTCATCAAACTAATAATTCAGATAGAAACAGTTAATATACCAAGTCTGTGATACAAGACAGCAAGGTAATTATAGTTATCTTTGATCATGTTGAGAAAAGTGGAGACAGGCATGCTCCTTACAGAGTGGCAAGCATCACTTCGAAGGTGCCGGGTAGTTAGCATCCTTTGGATATTTTCTCCAGGTCATGCCGGTGTGTTGGGAAATAAGTAGGCAAGATAGACTGGCCAGGTTTGACTGATTTATGACAAGCTGGATATTGTGAGGGCCCTTTGCGAGCGAGTGAACAGTGCCGAGGCACAGATAGATTATTACGGTCTGAGGAGAATGGTACTGTGAGGAGTTACAAGGGGATCTGGAAGACGCTCGACACTCGGGAGAGGGGAGGGGGAGGCGAGACAGATATACAATCAGACAGTTGCTGGTACCATCAGGATTTTAACTCTTCACTTGCTGCTGAAGATGGGGGACCGAGCACTTATGGAGGTGTCCTGAGTGCTGTGATGTCGATTCTTAATTTTACATTCAACAAGTTATCTTTGAAATAGCCAATAAACAGAAGGTGACTTGATTGGTACTCAAAGAGTAAAGTACTACACACCATGAATGATTGAATATTACTCATGTGCACCAGTCAACATGCTATGTATGTTTGTACAACATATATTTAGGACATACTTAACATTTGAACAACATGTCTGTATTCTATCATGATTGTGCATTTAGGCTCTGTAGATATAGTACATCTTTGATTTTGCTGCTTTCATTACTGCCTTAATCCTACTTTAGCTACATTCTTCTTGGGCCAAAAAGTTAAGACATACCAGTCTTACACAAATTACATGGTAGGGAAAAGTGGTAGACACTGAGAGATGTGGAAGGATAATAGTAGCTGGTTACACACAGAACAACATTGATTTACCTAAAGCTTTGACCATCCTCCACATACTGAGCCAGCCAGTCATCAACTGACTTGGGTTCTGGAATTGGCAAGAAGAATTTGTCCTCTGACTCTACATCTGAATACTCTAGAGGTAACACATTATTTTCAAATCCAATAGCAGCAAGTTGATCCTTCTGAGATGGTGGCCTGTAACCTTTTGCAAAAGGGATTTTCTGTCTCCCTTGTTTCAGCCTGGCTTTTTTGTCAGATTTCTGTTTTGGCATTGGTATTATCTGGAATTTTAAAAGATGTCCACTTTTAATTGTATTACTTTTCTAATGATCTTATTTTAGGTGTGGTATATTACAGAAAATCATTATATTTATTAAACTGACTGCACTAAGATCTTCAGTTGAGTTCATAGTCAGAAAAAGGAACATCCTGAGACATATGGAGCTTTGAAAACATTTGATTCACTTAACAGACATATAATACAAACAACAAGCAGCTGTCTGAGAAGCTGGTGAAATATCAAATTTCTATGATGTGCAGAGTTGCGTGAGGCTGGGTTGAGTTTTCTTCAAAATCTTTGCAAAATAAATGTTTAAAAAAATTTAAAAATTATATTTGTAACTGTTTTTGGTCCATTCACAGCTGGTGGATATCTGATCCTATAACTCATTTGTACTTCTCAACCAATGCTTATGTCTCGTAATTAATGTCTATGTCTCTCTACAGACAAAACATAGATGCAAATCTTTTTTTTATGGTTGTCCTGGGCATAAAATAATAAAATTATGTTCACATATAAATGTTCACATATAAATCTATTTGCCAATAACAATGGAGGAAATTTCAAATGTTTGCCACACAATTATCACCAATGGTGAAAACTGTCATTCTACTGAACATTTCAGACTAAAGAGAACTGACTCATAAATAACATCATGCCTTAAAATGAGGGGGGGGGGGGGGGGTGGATTATTGTTCCTGCCTTAAGGCATTTTTAGTATAGAGTGGTAGTTGACTATTGTCGGCTCTGTGGCTAAGTCGATGCGAACGCTTCGTAATCCCGGTACCGGGTTTGATCCCAGCTGTCGGCCATACGCCTTGTGTTGGTTTCGACAGTGGTATCAGGGAGCCGACTGTCCAGAAAGCATCGGCAAACTACTGGACGTAAATTTGCCTAGTGAAACCACACAACAGTCAGGGACTGATGGGGTTCGTTCTGCAACGTCCTGTAAAGGATACTTAACTAACCTTTTTTTTTAGTTGACTATTACAATAGAACAATCGATAACTAACTGGGGATGTAATCAGTATCAAATCAACCTTTTTTACTTCTCAGAACATTTCCTGGTACCCATTTTAGACTGGCAACCTTCATGTCCTGGTTAATATTTATTAACTCCTTGAGTACCAAGCTATTTGCTATGTGTCTGTCTGAGTTTCCTAGCTTTACATAATTTTCTAAGCACCATCCAGTTGCAGAATGAACCTACTACATCCCATCTGTTATTTTTATTCCTATTGTACCATAGTTTGATCACTGGAAAACCTTCAGATCCAAACAGTTATTACTTTAAATAACAACTGCTTAGAACAGATAAGGTTGAAGATCAACATGTCTGAGACTGAAAGAGTTGAATCCCACCTCACTGGTGATTTGAACAAATAAGCTTACAGCATAGACCTACAGCCTAAATATAGTCACAACAACAATTCCAGGCATACACAGAAAGGCTGAAGAATGTGACCCAGTACTGCGTGCAAAGACCCTTGAACATGTCTACAACTGTTATCCAAAACCCGAATGGACACACGTATACACTGATGGATCATTGGAGGGAGCAGACAAAACTGGAGGAGCTGGATCGGTCATCAAGCTGCAAGATGGGACCACAGTAGAAACGTCATGCACCTCTGGAACACTCTCAACAAACTTCAGAGCAGAGCAGCAAGCAATTATTGATTCAGCCAAAGTGCTTGAGGATAGAAAAATTAAAAATAGCAACATTGTTTTTCTTTGTGACTGCATGTCAGTCCTCCAGGCGACTCATAGGGATCCACGAGACAACATGGAAAGAGAACTGACCCGTCAGCTAAACAGACTCACAGAAAACAATCAAATTGTTCTCCAGTGTATCCCGGCTCACTGCGGAATTCTAGGAAATGAGTTAGCAGACAGACTTGCAAAAAATGGAACAAAGGAGAAACAACATGCCCATTCATTGTCATTAACAAAAATCACAACACTTATTAAAGGAAAATACAAGGGATTGTGGAGAGAACAAACTAACAGTAAACATCCACAAGATCCCATCAGCAGACTCAACAGAAAGCAACATACAACAATTTTCCATCTACGAACAGGACACTGCAGGCTCAGCTACCACATGCATAAAATAAAGATTGTACAGTCCCCCCAGTGTGCCTGTCAAACAGCACCCAAACACCTCAGCACATTCTGCAGACCTGCCCACTCTACCTGCAACTTCGAAAAGACACCTGGCCTCAAGAGCAGAGTGTGCAGAGCAAGCTATAGGGAACCATGCAGGACCTGCAGCTGACATGCGAGTTCATAGAGGCAACCCACCTGATGGTCTGATTTAAGCATACGAAACTGAACGCAACGAAGAAGAAGAAGAAGAACAAATTAGCTCATGTCCAGCAGATGAGCATGCTATCCACTGGCCTACCGATATGATAAAGCACATCTGGTGAAAGCTCTCTGGCATCAAATGGAAAGTACCTTAGAACTGACAGAGAAACCAAACATTGAACTATTAATTCAACAGGGGTGATTCCAGGTTCTGGAAGACATTCAACACTGAGAGGAAACAGGCAGACTTTTAATCAGCTTGCAACTGGTAGTATTAGCATGTTGACTCTTCACTGGCTACTGAAGAAGGAGACTGAGAACGTGTGAGAAAGTCCCGAATGCAGTGATGTAAATTCTTCATTCATTCCTTCTTGCCCTACCGAGTCAGATTTGAGGCTCCTTTAAAGTATCAACAATTAAACTGAACTATTTTACTGTATGAATGAAATGTGCTAAATAAAAAGCTCAGTTATTTCAAATATATTGGGGGTAAAGATCGGCACAGCCAAGCATGAGAAGCACACCGGACGACGCACACGAAGTCTGGCTCTACTGGCAAATCCGGACGAAGAATAAACAGCCTTGGACGACTCAGTCAGAGTTCTCTCCCTTGGCCGCACTCCAAACAGTGATCGGAAAACAAACGACACACTTACCTATCATCCTGCGGTTGCGTGTAGGGCTGCGTACGGTTGCGTGAGGCATCGTGGCATCATCATATGGTTGCGTGCAGGGTTGCGTACGGTTGCGTGAGGCATTGTGAATGGTTGTGTAGTCATCATCATGCGGTTGTTGGATTAGAGTTAGGGGTAGGGTTAGGGTTAGGGGTAGGGTTAGGGGTAGGGTTAGGGTTAGGGGTAGGGGTAGGGTTAGGGTTAGGGGTAGGGTTAGATGTTAAAATTTTGACGTAGGGTTTCGAAATAGTGGCCGACAATCTGATGTTTGTGGGCGTGGCGCCACTGAAATTCTGCTAAATATGACGCCAATAGTGTGCGGCTGGTGCCCAATCGCAATATAATGAGTGCGTCTAACTGCCATGTTGCTTGTGTCGTTTGTTTCGTTGTGGCTTTTCCGATCACTGTTTGGAGTGCGGCCACGGGAGAGAACTCTGACTAAGTCGTCCAAGACTGTTTATTCTTCGTCCGGATTTGCCAGTAGAGCCCGAAGTCTTGTTAACTAACATATTTACACATGACTGGCACTATTACCGCACGACGCTGATGAATATGTTGAGAGGGAAATCTGAGCGCTTATGGATATGTCCGGAGTGCTGTGACGATAATCTAACACATAACTCAGAAGAAAATTGATTTTTAATTACCATTAGTAGTAATCTATGTTCAGATGTGAAATCGCAGACAATGAATGTGACAATTTCATTCAAAATAGATCCTGAGTCACAGAAAGTGCGAAACTTTTACTTTATGAGGCGACATGTATTCGTTAGCGGTATAAAATTTGTTGTAGCAACAGAAGTAAAACAGTTCGGGAGATGTATATGTTTTGAACCAACGACTTTCGGAAACGCCAGCCAACGCCTGGTTGTTGCACCACGGAGTCTATCAATTATTATTATTACTGTGTAATTTAAAAAGGCTTAAACCCTCCCTAAATTTCTATGAGCGGGAGACTGAAAGGTCTTAAGTCTTTTTTATTGCATAATAATAATGATTTATTATTAATATTATTTTTTTGCAATCAAACAAAGATTCAGACCCTCACCCGCACATAGAATACCATTGTTGAGGAATCTGACTGAGCGCCCAGCGTTTTCTATGTTGCGGCAAGCCTGTCGTGGAATGATAGAACAACAAACAAGAGTCGTTAATTAATTGGAACAATAAGAGGCAGACAGTCTGTTATTTTCGGAAGAAGAATTAGAAGTACTGGATGAATTTGGGGTAGAAATATTAACTAAATTGATAAATGAAATTTAGGCACTCCTTTGTTCCATTCCCCAAAATGGCGGCATGCCATATTCTGGCCATAAAATATCCGAACGGCGGTGTTCCCGTATATCTAAAATAAGGACTGTCTGCCAAGGGACAAATCGCGGCAAAACTAGGATTACTTGACAATCACTATCAACATTGCACACGGTACTAGTAGCAAACGATAAATACCGACCGTTGACAAAAATTTCGAGCGTTTCTGCAGACGACGATACTAGCAGACAATATTAGCGACCGTTGACCAATTTCGAGACATTAAAGACGATGAAAACGATTAGCAATACTGTGTTCTTCCGATTGGAGGATTTAGCAGCGGTAGATGTCAGACTTGTCGGCATGCGCCAAACGCGATTAACCTCATCGCCGAGCGTATCTAGGTGCCTGGGACTCACGAGTACAGTAATTGGAGGAAGTTGCAGGAGATGCGGTAGCTGCCACTCGTGAGTCCCAGCCATCTAGTTTAGTCCCCATCCGCGCCGCGCGTAGCGGCTCGGGGGATACATTCGGCGGTGAGGCACACTCGCTGAAGCAGGTCGGCAAGCACCGTCTCGCCGAGACCCTGTCAGAGCATTTGTTTCGTTATTTGGAGCCGGCACATATATTTTTAATAGAACTGACCCGCATTCGGATATTTTTGGATATTTTATGGCAAGAAATTGGGCAATTTAGCTCTCTTTCGAACGCCATCATATTAAAGCCGCCATTTTGAGGAACGATTCAAAGAAGCGCC